GAAAGAGGCCCCACACAGAACGAAACGCTGCAAGGACTTGTACACAGGAGATTGCCCACGAGTGAAAACCGACATCTGGTCAAGAACATCCTAGAAGATCCTAATGAAGATTAGAGATCTCAGACTCACACCCGACGATGCCAGGCTTTGTTTGATGACGTTAGTGATCAAGATGGCATGGCGGTGCCATAAAGTCAGACAAACCACAGAAGACAGCCGACAGCGCAGAGATGGGCCACACTGTGCAGGTGGATTCCTGCCCCGAAGGCGCGCAGCCTGGGAGGAGGGCAGCAATGGCCCTCTCAATAAACGGTCCCGATCCATTACTTGTCATATGGAAAACAAAACAAATATTGATTTTTACTTTAGACATACATAAAATCACTTTCATGCACACCCCTATGTACCATGACGCAGAACTAAACTAAAGGATAAGGCAGAAGGCTTAGCGGCCCACCTGGGCGAGGGAGGGCAAAGTGCTTAGATAAGGCACAGCAGGGAACACCTAATGAGCTGGACTGCATCAAAATGGAGAATTTCTATCCACCAAAGCCACCAAGAGAGTGGGAGGCAAGTCAGAGAGTGGGAGGAGAGAAAAGCCCCACACAGACTTCCCAAAGGCTCCTCAGGTAGAACACAGGGGCATTTCTATCTCTGGGCCACCAGTGAGCAAGGAAAAAAACAAAAAATCCTAAAAACAACCAAAAGCAAGGCAACAACAACCAGGCAGGGACTCCAGTAGGAAAGTGGGTGAAAGGCAATTACAAAGGAAGCTCAAAACCAACCAAAACACAGGAGAGGAAGGTGATAAGAGCTTGGTAAGGGCGCTGGCTGTGCCGTCGCAAGGGCCTGAGTTTGATCCCCAGGACCTACATAAAACTCCAGGTGCCTTGATGCCCTTGTATCATCTCAGCCCTGGGGAGGCAGAGACAGGCAATCCCACTGGCCAGCTAGACTACCCTATTCTGTGAATCCCGTGTCTCAAAGAAGGTGGGTGACATTCTGGAGTTGTCCCCTTGCCTCCACATGCACCCCCTCACGCACACGCGTGCGCACGCCTTTGAAAAAGATGGGAAATTTTGTCATGTCCAATTTCATCAGCACCCAGGGATGTGCAAAGTGAAACTAAAATGGAACGCCACGTCCCACCCACTAGCCTGGTTAAAATTAAAAAGCTGACAGCACCAAGTGCCGACAAACCTGAGCCCGGAGTGGAAGTCCCCCTCACTGCCAGTGGGTGTGGAAGCTAGTGGATCCACTTTAGAAAGCTGCTTGGCAGTGTCTGTGAGAGCCAACAGATGCCCATTCTGTGACTCAGAAGTTCCACCAGACTCCATGCCCAAGATCTGGGCGAGCAGGCATCCATCACAACATGGCAGACGGGCAGGAGCAAATCAGAAAAAAATGAGCGCAAGAGCCCCACCCAGAGACGCACAAAGCAGGTCTCAGAAATGAGAGAAAAATGAAAAAAAATCACAGGATTCCTAGACTGAACAACTATATGACTAACACGCCTGTTTCCCAGACTTTGATTTATAGCCAGTACAATCCCAATAACAAGCAGAATAGGCCTGTGTGCAGGGTATTCAAACAGATGACGTGGTCAGACCACACGGAAATTTAAGAGCACTCGCTGCAGGTGAGGACAGAGAAACCACACATCCACTCAGAGATGCATGCTGGTAAGACTTCCATACCACATGACCCAGAGGTCTACTCAAGGTAGCATGAGAGAGGATTTGGAGCATCACACCACAGGATACTATGTGATAATGCACACAGAACACCTTGGGTATCACTCATAAGTGTTACAGGAAAGAGGGAAGGGACATAGGACCACGCATTCAAAGCCAAGTGTAGCCATCTGTAGGGCAGAGTCAGAGAGTGGCTGTAGCTGGTAGTGGGCAGGACACAAGGATAGCTTCTGGTCAGCTTCTGTTCCCTGGTTCGAACTGTCTGGAAAATCTAGAGCCGTCTTTAGTGGTCTCACGGCTCCCACCCCACGATTGTGGCTGTGAGCTCTTCCCCATGAACCTCTGGCCCCAGTGCTCAGTCTGAATGTTAATGAGCATCTTCTGTGTGTTGCCTGCAGACTAAGATATTCCCACTGTGCTATCCCATATGTTCTCACAGAGCTATGGAGGAGACATTGTAAGAGAAGAGGGGCAGTTAAATGACGTACCCTCTGTCCATCATGGGCTCACCATGTAACAGCAAGCAAGCTATCTGTGACTTCCACAGAGAGGGCTCACGTCTGTGTCCTGCAAGTGTCACCTGTGGGCTTCCAGGACAGCCTCATCTTGGGATCAGAGGCCTGGCTCCCGGTTCTAATCTCAATGTCTAGAATGGAGTTTGCTTTTTGTGCTGTGCGCCAAGGTGGCTGCCAGAGTGCCAGCGAGCTCATTCAAATTCCAACACAGAAGGTAGAATCACTCCCTGGAGGGCTCTTTGGTAGTCTGAGAACACTCATCTCATTGGCTGTGCTAGAACCCTGGCCACAGCTAGCTTGGGAAGCTGGGAATTTCCATTTTTCAAAGGGTGGCCATCTACCTGCTTAAAGTCAGAGTGCTGTTACTGGGTACCAGGATGAGGAGAGATAAGAATGTTGCTATGGACACAGTCACCTGTCCAGCAAGGATTCAGATCTAGCCAGTGTGTGTCCATAGGCCGCCAAGCTCTTCCTCCTAAGCCTGCCCCTCTGCCATGAAAGGGGCCATCTAGAAACTGCAGGGGACAGGACATTAGCACTGTGAGGCTGGTCCTCGGGTTCTCCTGCCTTTCCATGTCCTTCCCTGCCTTCATTTCACAGCACAGAATGGTCACAGTGACCCCCCCCCCCAAAACCTCCCAGTCCTGCCTTCTCTTCCCATCACTGTGGCGATGAGACATGCCTGTCTTAAAAGGCCCCTGCCTGTGGCTGAGGACTTGCTGCCTCTGCTCCCTTGGTGACTGTCCCCTCGATCCCACTGGGCACAGGGGCCTCTCCCTAGGTGTCCTGTTGGCTTTGGACGACTTGATCTAAGCTCAGGCTGTGTGGAAAGAGGGAACTTCAGTTGAGGAACACCTCCATCAGATTAGCCTGTAAGAGGCCGTGGTGCATTATCTCGGTTGATGATTGGTGTGTGTGTGTGGTGTGTGTGTGTGTGTGTGTGTGTGTGTGTGTGTGTGTTGGGGGCAGGCAGTCTACTGTGGGTGGTGCCACCCCTGGCAAGTGGTCCTCGGTTGTATAAAGGAAGCCAGGGGGCAGGGGAAGCAAGCCAGTCAGCAGCATCCTCAGGGCTTCTGCTTCAGTTCCTGCCTCCAGGCTCCTGCCCTGGGTGACATCATGCTTTCAGATGGCCATTAAGAGCCTTCTGGGGCACCAGCCACCCCACTTAGCTTCACAGGGCTCCTGTGGACCATTATGGCTTTCGTTGCCTAAGGCTTAGTTTGGTTAATATCCTGTCTGCCTCTGGGATTTTTTTTCCCCCTTAGTTTTTGAATTTTTCTCAAACTTCACTATTTTTAAATTAAAATATAGTGTGCTCTGGATCCAAGACTCTTAATAACTTGCAAACTTTGACACCCATAAAAATAACATTTACCCAAATGAGAGTTATTTCCGTACATTCCTCAACGTCTTGCTTATTTTTTTTTCCTGCGCACATTGATTTTGATAGGAAAATATTTCTTCCAGCCTTTTCTAGCCAGGTGCCAACATGATCTAAGGAGCTGTTTACAAAATCCGTCCTAATGATTTGCTAGTTTTTTGACAAACCAATAAATCACTGGTGGAGAGGTGGCTCTGATTGGGATTAAATAATGAATAAAAACATTTATCTACACTTGGTTATGAAGCTTCCCCAGGAAATGGACTAGGTCTGTAAGAGCCTGCGGTTGAATGAGGAGGAAATTCTTGGAACACAGGGGCCACGGTGGTGCACACCTTCAGTCTCAGAACTTGAGAACAGAGGCAGGTGAATGAATCTCTGAGGGTTTAAGAGCCAGCCTGGTCTACACAGTGAATTCCAGGCCAGCCAGGGCTACACAGAAAACTCAGTCTTAAAAAGAGACAAGCAAAAAAAAAAAAATAAATAAATAAATAAACAAACACAAAGCCAAGCTCTGAGCTCAGAGGGGTGGGTGAGGTTCATATCACACCGTAAGGGATTTGCTGCTGGTCAGAGGTGGGATGGTGGACCTCACGATCACCTGGGTTGTGGCCTCTTGCTTTTGATAGTCCGTCCTTCCTTCCTTCCTTCCTTCCTTCCTTCCTTCCTTCCTTCCTTCCTTCCTTCCTTCCTTCCTCCCTCCCTCCCTCCCTCCCTCCCTCCCTCCCTCCCTCCCTCCCTTCTTTCTTTCTTTCTTTNCCTCCCTCCCTCCCTCCTTTCTTTCTTTCTTTCTTTTTTTTGATAGGATCTTATTAATGCAGCCTAGGCTGGGCTGAAACTCCTATGTAGCGGAGGTTGGCCTAGCACTCCTGAGGGCTAGGATCACAGGTCTGTGACAGCGGGGTCAGCTATGGCCGTCTCTCTCATTCCGAAAGGGGCAGCAGGAGTTTGCATATTGCCCACCATCAACCTTGCAAGTCCAGGGGGGCAGAGGCTTGCCCAGTGGTGAAGCACAGCTGGGCCCGGCCCCAGCTGGCTGGCCTGCCGCGTGTCACCCCAAGTGTGCGAGAACCTAGGGAAGCACCAGTGAGCTGGTTATCAGAAGAGACATAGGAGCCCAGGAAGTGACTCTGGCCGCAGCTGGTGTCCCACAAGTTGAGGCTCTACTCCTTAGGTGTGAGCACCCACACTGTCTACCCTGTGTCACGTGCTGCCGACCCAGCCCCCTCTCCTCACTGGATCCTCACGCTGTCTGGATGAAGAGTCAGCCACCTAGCCCCGTCTCCAAGTATTGCTGCTCAGGGAGGTCAAGTGACTTGCTTGGAGCGCACAGCCCCTCTGAGACACATAGTCAATGTTTACCAACAAGAAAAGCCAGGTCGGCCGGGAGGGGTAAACTTCACCACTGACCTTCCCTGAGATGGTCTTGATCTGTTTGGAGCTCAGGGGCTCGAAGTCCACTCCGATGTAGCCCTCCATGGCGGCCAGGAGGCTCCTGCGCAGGCAGCGGGAGGAGTTGGCCTCCACGTGCACCTGATCCCACCACGCCGGCTCGTACCAGCCTGGGATGATCCACTGGTACTTGCTGCCGAACATGCTCTCCTCGAAGGCCTGTGGGAGATGGGCAGAGACTCGGGATCAGCGGGGCTTGGGGTGTCAGGAGAGGGTGGGAGAGCCATGCTTCCTTCTCCCATAGGGTGGACAGACTTCTGTCGGCCCCCTCTCCCCATCACTCTAAAAACCTCAGGTAGCTGCAGGAAGGCCTAAAACCTGGAGAAACCGAGGACTTTGTTTGATGGAGGGAAAGGGAACTGCTAATGGAGAAGCAAGTGAAAGGTTCTGGTACCGCACCTACGAGCAGTGTGATTCACCATGAACTTCCTGGTGACTCAAGAGAAAAGGGCAGCAGGTTTCCATAAAGCTCTCATCACCCATGAGGAACAAGAAGCACATTCCTGGTCGTTAACCCTAAAAGGTGCCTTACACCGAGGAAGCTATCAGAGCCACGGGTGTGCACCAACATCCTCTCTACAACAGAGTTCTCAAAGCTGCTTGAGGCTGGGAGACAGCTGACTCCTTTATGGAGTTCTTTGATGTTTTTGGACTCACAATGTCCCTCTCCTAGACACCGTACTTCTAATGATGAAACAGCTTGTTTTTTTTTTTTTTTTTTTCCCCTAGTGACTACACTCTAATTGTGCCCCAGCCAGAGTTTCGGGGATGGGCACAGAGAACTCATCTTTCACACGCATTACAAATTCACAGCTGGACAAAAGCAGGCAGCAGCTGGGGCCTCTGATGAACAGGGTTCAGCTTCCGAAACACTGTTTACAGGAGGATAATGCAGGGTTCTGACCGGGAACAAGACTTGGGTGTTTTGTTTTCTTTTTGAGACAGTCTCGCTGTGTAGCCTGGGCTGGTCTTGAACTTGTGACCCCAGAGTACAGCAGGGATGATAAGTAGTACCCTCATTCTGGGAGGGACTAGCCTTAGGAACAGGAGGAAGTCCCCAAATCCTCGGTCATGCCTTCAGGGGCAGGTCTTGTGAGAGTCCAGCCCCTCATCTGCCACCTGTGGGGGAACCCACACACACACAGTCTGACCAGGGCCTGGCTAGCCTAGGGGAATAGGCTGTTATCTCCCCCTGTATAGATGAAGACTGCCCAGCTTGAGGTGAGGGATTTCCCTAAACAAAGTTACTGAGAAAAAAAGATTCTAGGGCCACCTTCTCTTAGCAAAACAAAACCTTTCTGGAAGCTTCTTTGATCTAAAAGGCCCTCCTGTCTACAGGAGAGGCATATTGCTTAGGAGGCACCGGGAACAAGGGGGCAGCACAAGGCCCAGTTCCGACACTCGCGGCTGTGACCAGCACCAGGGCTGTGGACTCCACAGTGTTCAGGAGGAAGCAGGATCCGGGTAGCTGTGTGAGCAGACCCTCATGGATCCTCCAGGCTGCTCCCTGAGGGACTTTTCCAGGAGACAGAAGCCTGGTCCGTGGGGAAGGCAGTGCAGGTGTTAACGTTCTGAAGCCCTTTCTACCACTTTCTACCAGCTCCCAGCTTCTTGGTCCTCCTGCTTCCTCTCCTTTCTCCTCAGGACAGCCAGGGGTCATGAGGTCCTTATCAATGTACAAAAGTCCTGTTCACCTCCGCTCCTTATCGCCTGTCCCCAAAGTCCCTTTTGTCCTGTGGCGAGCCTTGAGTCACACGTGCAGGGCAGAACCACAGATGAAGCATCCGTGGACAGGCTCACAGGAAGGATGTGGCCTGGCTCAGTCCACTGTCAGGTGGGAGTGGCCATGTGCCCCCTTCTGTGTTGGTCCTAGTGAAGAGTCCCTATGTGGGATATAGAGGGCTTCTTGGGGCTGGGACACTGGTCTTCATCCTTTGCCAGATGGAGGGTAGGGCTGTGGACCTCCAGGGACCTGTTTCCCTGGGACCTCCAGAGCTAAGTTGGGGCCAGTATACAGTGCCGGATGGTTGATGTCAACTTGACACAAGCCAAAGTCATCTGAGATACAGAACCTTAATTAGGAAAAAGCTTCCATGACACTGGGCTGCAGGCAAGCCTGCAGGGCATTTTCTTAATTAGTGATTGATGGGGGAGGGGGAGGGCCCAGCCCATCACGGGTGGTGCCATCCCTGGGCTGGTGGTCCTGGGTTCTGTAAGAAAGCAGGTTGAGCAAGCCATGAAGAGCAAGCCGTAAGTAGCTCCGTGCCATAGCATCTGCTCGGTTTCTGCCTCGAGTTTCCAGCCTTGTTTGAGTTCTCCTGAGTTCACTGATGATGAACCGTGCTCAGCAGTGGCGGTGCAGCACCAACGGAGCTTGCGGTCTCTCTGCTTCCATGCATTCCCTGAGAGGCACAGATGGTGGATGTCCTTGAGGGTAAGCCCCAGCCAAAAGTCCAACCCAAATCTCCAAGAGCCTCCGTGGGTGAGCATCCAGCCATAGCAGTAAATTCTCACTATTAGCACGGAGATTTCTCCAGAGCACAGGCAGGATGGGAGGTGGGAGAGGAGGTAGGAGGGAGCCCAGCCTGGGCCTATGGCCCGAGGCCGAGCTGGAGGACCCAAAGCAGACACCAGTGTTCATGGAACCACTTCTCTCTGGCCAGCACAAATGAGGGCTTTGAGTTGGAGCCAGGACACAAGGCCGCGGTGTGTGTTCTCAGCACACAGGAACTGGCCTCTGGCCGGGCTCTTACATTCATCATTTTCTCCCAGAGTCCTTTGGTTTCTTTCTGGATGGACACTAAGGTCTTCAAAGGTCTAGGGAAATTGGTGGGTGGGGGTCAAGTGCAGCCCTTTCCAGAGTCCCTCCATGCAGGAGCTTGCTTGATACTCAGAGAATCCGTTTCTGGGCTCTCCTGCGGAAGGGAAGGCTTTTCTGAATCTGGAAATATTGTTGTGTCAGCGCTGGCCTCCTCTGAGCCTCTTCCTCAGGTTTGGACCCTGCAGCCATCTCATTGCTCCTTAGGGTCCTGGTGCTCAGACCCCTTGGGACCCCTCCCAAGTCACCTTCCATCACGTTTGCCTTCAGACAGGAGGATCGGGGGTGGGGAGGCCTTGGGGGCTGGGGCTCAGCTTTCATGAGAGAGTGTTGCATCAGTTAATGTCCTCCTTGAGCTAGTGAGATGGGGTGACACTCTCTCTTTCAGAAGTGTGCTGAAGCTGTAGGGGTCCAATGCCGGTGTGTCAGCGTGGAGCCGCAGTGGCCACCAGACTCCAACATCACCTCTCACCATTACCTCATCAGCCTCCCCCTGGGATGCCTCAACTTCCTCTCTTCGCTGCCAAGCTGGCTGGCTAGGGTAACCCGTGTGTCCTTGGCGTCTAGCCGCGTCTCTTCTGTCCCTCTTGGACCTGCTGGGTTCCTCTGTCTCTTCATTTAGCCTCACCTTCTATGTCCATCCTCAGCCTCCTCTGTTCTTCCCTACAGGCCTGCTGTTCATACCTCAGCCTGCTCTTCACACCTCAGGAAGGGCAAGAGAACGGAGAGCTGTGGCCCCTTGCTAGATACCGCACCAAGGATGATCTTCTACAGAAAGGCCAGGGGTAGATGCTGACTCATGACTGGGTCGTCACTTGGTGAACTTCCCTCCTGACCCGAGGGGAGCAAGCAGAGCGCAGCACAGCCATGGAAACAGATATGCTGCTCCTGGGTGCAACCCCTACCATGTATGTCATGAATAGATTGCACCAGGACTCAGGGCTCCACTCAGGAGGTGGCTGAGGACACTAGAGAAGCCCCCTTACCTCACATGGCTACTAAGCAGGGTAAGTTGGACAAGGTATAAAAGCACTTGGTCACCCACTTGTTAGATCCTTCCTCAGAGTTGACAGTGTGTCCTCTGCCAGTTCTGAACTCTGTCTGCAAGGCAGGGAGGGGCCTGAGTCCCCTGGGGTGTCTGGAGTGTCTCCTGCTGACTCAGAAAAGCCCTGCAGCTGCTGCGACACCCCCAGTACCCCCGGGACCATCCTGCTCTGAGCACAGCTTCTGACCCCAGGAGGGATTCCAGGCTGGAGAGGCTTGGTGAACCCAGGGCTCGGAGTCTCACTTACACAACAGAAGACTTTCGCTGCCATGTTCTGGTCAAACTGGCCAAGGATGATCCGCACGTCATTCCCCTGTGGGCAGAAGAGGATGTGAAGGTGAGTGATGGCATTGCCAGTGCCAGCACCAGGGTACCCTTCCATGGCCAACTTCGCAGCCAAGAGCTCTGCCGACAGGGAGGAGGTGAGGCTCCCCTTGCTGTGCACCCCCAGAGACTTGCTGCGTCACTCTTGGCTCATCTGCGATCACCCTCTCTGCTTTCATGGGTGACTCTTCTGAGGCCAAACAGCATTCCTCAGGCTCCCTGCTCCCTCTGCCAATGAACTGGGCTATCTTGAATCTCCTTTCTCATTTTACCCACAGGGAAACTGAGGCCAGAGGAAGGTGATAGAGGCAGGACCCAAGTCAGCCACCCCTCCATAATGTCTTGGACTTTTCAGTCAGTCAGTCCCTGGAGATATCTTCTGAGCTCATGGAGCTCCCCAGTTCATAGTTTTTGGGGTTTGTTGGAGTTGTACTAAGACCTCAATGCCATCAACAAGCCTTGGGTGGCTTCAGGCATCTCCCTTTCTCATCTCAGCTTTACTTTACTCCTCTGTGATATGGGGACAGTGGTAGCAACTCCCTTGTTTGAGTTCCGAGAGGACTCAGAGAAGCATCCTTCAAGAGATGCTTAACATGGTGCCTGCTGCACAGCAGGCACCCAGCGTATGCCAGCTAGCCATGTGCCCGTAACTCTCCCGGGCCATCTTTACTTTTTGCCTGCAAGCTCTGCCCTGGCACGTGCTGGTTTTCTCAGTGTGGCTAACAGATGTGTGTTGCAGAGAAAAGCCCACGAGACTCACTCACCTATAAACCATTTACCCAGCCCCTGCCTGAGACTCTTGGTCACTTTCTGGGCACGGGGATTCAGCCTGGACCCTGCCATCAGGAGGCCATCTGGGTACAGGCTGGCACCTGCTCCTGTCCTGTGGCTTCCTGCTTTGCAGGACCCAGATTTGCAGAGGGCACCATCTCCCTGCCGGCCTTTCCAGACACCCCAGACCTTCTGATGGTGGTGGGCAGGAAGCGTGACTTCAAAGATCAGTTTTTAGCATCTTTTAAAGCTGGAAAATGCTGACTGAGAGGCCCCATCTTACTCATCATGTGTGTTAGCAAAATAGAGAAAGCCCTGTGCTAAAACTGGCCTTGGCTCACAAGAAAGAATGAAAAGAATGGGAGGGGGGTTGGACACAAAACCCCATATTTGCTCGGGGAAGGACTTTAAAGGGTCGTTTGCAGAGGGTGGAGGAAGGCGAGCCTTTGTCTCTGCAGTCTGCAGCACTATGAAAAGTTTCAGGCCGTCTCCTGTCCGTGGAAGGGCTCCCAGGCACACACCAGCCTCTTTGCCATTGGTTGAAATCTTTTTACATTGTTTGTTACTAACAGTGGCCATCTGTCCATCTGTCTGTCTCCACCCATTCATTGTTTATTCGTCCATCTTCGGGGTTTATTGTGCATCTGGATCGCTAACCCCACTTGGTAAACACGGTACAGAGAAACAGCCTATTGGGTTTCAGAGCCAGAGAAACTGGGTTCTGATCCCATGCCTGGGCTTAGTCTGCTAAGCCTGCATCTTGTCATGTCTGAAACAGGCACTGTCCTCCCTGCCCTGCTTTGTGGTACAGGTAACTGATTACAACACAAAATGCCTTCTGGTCTTCAGGATGCTCCCCCTGGCATCTTGTCATGACTGATCCCTCCTGATTGCCCTCCTCAGATTCAGCCCCTGGTATCCCATTCTGCCCTCAGCTTTTGCTGCATCCTGAGTGCAGTCATCCAGCCTGTGTCACCAGCATGGACTCATCCACTGCTTTCCACAGAACACCTCAATCGGTGTCTCCTGGCTCCTGCAACCCAACATGTCCCAAGCTGAACCCTCATCTTTCTCTCGCAAGCCCCTTCCTCCTCCTGTTTCCATCTCTGGGAGTGGTACCTCAGCCTCCCACTCGCCGAGCTGGAGACTGGAGTCATCTTCCACTTGCTGCTCTCCTTCCCCTCCCACGTCCCAGCCCCTCAGCATGCCGGTTCCACCTGTTCACCAGCTCCAGAGTCAGCCTGTCCCTGCAGCCCTGTGCTCTGGGCTTGGTCACCACTTTTCTTCCCGTAGAGACTATCTGGACCCCTGCCCTCATACTACCACGTCCAGTGGTCTCTACATAAGAGGGAGAATCACAGCGACCTCCAGTTCTGACAGAAAAAATCTGACATGGCCTCCCAAGGTAGATCAGACACCCATCTCAGTCTCTTGAGCTTGAGGCTCTCTACCAACTGCCTCCTGCATCACATTTCCCTACTTTGCTATGGAGTAACAAAGAACTACCTGAAGTTCCACAGACACACCTGTTTGCCATTCATCCACCCACCCATCTGTCTATCAGTTCACCCATCCATCCATCTACCAATCTACCTATCCATTCATTCACCCACCACCTCATCCATCCATCTGTCCATCCATTCATATACCCACTAACTGCCCATCCACCCATATACCCATCCACCAACCCACCCATCCATCCATCCACCCACCACCTCATCCATCTGTCCATCCATTCATATATCCACTAAACTATCCATCCACCCATCCATCCATCTACCCACCCATCCACCCATCCACCCACCCATCCATCTATCCACCCACCCACCCGTCCATCCATCTATCCACCCATCCACCCATCCACCCACCCATCCATCTATCCACCCACCCATCTGTCTATCAGTTCACTCATCCATCCATCTACCCACCCACCTATCCATCCATCTGTCCATCCTCCCTCGCTCTGTTCCCTTTTGTGTACAAGCTGTACATCCAGAGTGTCCTGCTCTTCCCTGTACTCTCCTGCATCACAGCTGCTCGGCCCTCATCTTAGCTCAGGCTCCCTTGTGATGCCACCGACCATCAAGCCCAGCAGCCATTCCCCTCTGGCCTGAGGACATCTACACTTCCTTCCATCATGACCCAAATTCACTTTTTAAAAAGTCTTCTCCTGACCCTCTGGCCCCTGAGCCAGCACAGGGCACGATGTATGGAGCAATAAGCATGCGTGTGGCCTGATGTAGGGAGAGGATGCTGACACAGCACTGGACTCCACGGTGGGCCCTTGGCTGCTCAGCAGCTTGACCTTCTGCAAGTCCAGAAGGCATGATTGTCAATGTATTGACGCCCTGCTAGTCCTGGGGCCTGCTACTGACTGGGTTTACATGTCCATTTATGAAATGGACCAAAGAAACCACTTCTTCATGGTGACCAACTCACCACCTGCTGACAGATAAGCAACCAGCTCTGCCTTTCCATTTAGTCCAGTTAGTGTCTCCGTTGCCATGACAACTGTGCTGCAAGGACCACTCGGCTGTAGGCTCTCAAGCTGTGAGGTTTAGATGGGCCTGAGGAATCACAGATCCCAGAAGCCCCTTCCTAAAGAGGCCAGTGGCTCTCCCCAGCTGTGTAGCACCCAGAGTTGGGCTCTCACTCTGGTTCTCAGGACCCTCAGAGGGCCTGGAAGACAGACACTGTTGGGAACCAGGAAGCCCCTGAGGCAGCAAGCTATTTCTGTCTACTATGCTTCTGAAGAGCAGGAGGGCTGTTCCCAGGCTAGGAGGGCAGTGAGGAGCGTGGGCCAAGGGAGTGAGATAAAACCTGGTCCTTAGGGAGATGCTGCCTTGAGATCAGGTGAAGTGTGGGCTCACGTCTTGGATGGGACACATTCATCTGGAGTTAAGGTTGCATCTGAGGGGGTGTGGAGAGTGGTGTTCTCTCACCCTGGACTGGCACTTGTGTGTGAGTTCCGGGGTTGGGGAGAAAGAAGTTCTAGGAAGGATGGATAGCACACACACACACACGAGACACACACACATCACATACCACACACACACACACTGTATACCACACACACTACACACACACCACACACAAGACACACACATACACTACACACACACTGCATACCACACACACATACACTACACACACACCACACACCTCACACAACACACCACATAACACACACACACCACATATACCTCACACACTACACAGACACTACACACACACCATACACACCCACACATACATGTATACACACACACCACACATACACGTACACATACACCACACACACATACACACCATACATACACACTACACATACACACATACACACCACACACATACCACACCCACTACAAGCTCCAGAGTCACATTTGTCACTGCCCAGTACATGAGCCTCTTCCTGGAAGCCCAGAAGGTAAAAACTAAAATCCAGATAGGCAATGGCCCTATCTCTGACCAACTCTCTACCCTGCCGGGGCTGGAGCTCCTCTTCCTGATCTAAGGGCCTGGGCAGTTTAAGAAGTACTGGGAACAAGGCTTGATGAAGCAGGCTTGTAAATCTCAGCTAAGTAGGGGGCTCGCACATTCAAAGTCACCCTGGGCTGTATAGAGAGAGCCTGCCGTACAGCCTGCCTATCATGCGTGAAGCCCAGGCTCAAACCCCTGTACTGAAAATGAAATAAGTAAGCTCAAGGCAAAGGGAGGAGGAGCCGGGCCTGTCCCTGCAGATGAGAACGACAGAGTAGAAATATGAACTCCAGAGAACAAGGCCATGCCTGAGGGCATCTACTGGAAAATCCCGAGCTTTCATGACCCGATTCTTCTGGGGCTCCTGGAGCGAAGGTGGATGCGTGGGGACAGATGACAGTTTCCATGATCGATGGTCCCAGGTAAAACGCTTACACACAGAGAGCTGCATTCCCACCCTAGCAGGCCACTGTTCCAGGGACGGCATTTTGAACGAAGCAACCATGGATGCAGGTTGGAAGTGAGGAGCACCGCCTGGGTCCTCTCAGCTCCTCACAGCCAGAACCCTGCCTCAGGTGCCCAATTCCCAGAAGCCCCACAAAGACACAGGACATGCCCTAGCCCAGGACAGACGGCCTTTCTTCTTTCTTGGTTCCATTGTCTAGACCACCTTGTTTCCAGGATCCTTAAGGGACCTAAAAAATCACACATTTCTGAATGGCCACCCAATCCACTGAC